ATCTCCTGTGGAGTACAAAAGAATAGGTACAATTCAAATAAAATCTAAAAGATTTTAAAGGGCAAATATAGTAAAGAAGACAATAACCAATCTTAGAGGCATCTCAAATATGCTGACCTACTAATTAAAGGGAAAAAAAATCCACGAATTGGAACTGTGTGAAATCCAGATCTTTTAACTAACCTGATAAAAGACTTGATGCAATAAAAGGCAGGTTCCAAAAACAAACACTTCAAGGAAGGTAAAGATTCCACTACAAGCCGGCCACATTTAAAGAGAAGGAACTTGATGCTCAGAGAAATTAGAAAACCAAATTACAGAGGTGGTAAAGCTAGTAAGTAGTACAGAGGTAGGAATCCAAGTCCACTGATAACACCACGCTTTCCCAAACATTTTATCAGCAGGAAGAAAACTGGAAATCAATAACAACAGTATAAATTAAGAGGAGTTTAAGAGTGGTCTACCCACTATTATTATATACTATGGCAGAGGGAGTTAGTCTGACATCAGATAGATACCATGAAGACTTTGTTCTCATTTTAACTCCAAAATTCAAGCCCTATTGTATAGTTTAGAAATGTAAATGTTTTTACTTTTAAATAATCTAATTTACAGTATTTTAAATATTAAAGATAATTTACTGGTACCATTATCACCAAGTCCAAGAACATTTGTTTTCTAAAAATATTTCTCCTATTTTCCCAAGGAATATAGCAAAGAGAGTTGCAACAATTACCTCCTATCCCACACACATTCTCTCATACAACATGACCTTACCACTCCCCCATCAAATTTCCCTCCTCTTAAATCTGGGTAGCCTCATGACATGTTTGTATTCAATGGAATACGGTGGAAGGACTGCATGACTTCTATGCCTACATCAGAAAAAGCCTTGAAGCTTCTGCCTGGGTCTTTTGGAAAACTAGTGCTGTGGGAAGCCAGGTGCCATATAAGGGAAGTCCCACCACCCTGAGATCATCATAGTGGAAAGGCCACATGCAGGCACTATGGCTAACAAACTCAACTGTGTACATCCTTCTAGCCATCTCCACCAAGGTGCGAGCAAAGCCATCCTGGATTCTCTAGACAAACCCTACCATCAGCTGAGTACCACTCAGTCACCTCAGCCAATCCTCTAAGGAGCAGAAGATTCATTCAGTTCATTTCTTCGTAAATTCCCGACTCACAGATTACATGAAATAATCATAAAATGATGGTGGTTTTAAACCCTTAAGTTTCAGGATAGTTTGTTATACAACAATAGTAGTTAAAATGTAAGTTGGACACTTATAAATTTAAACCTTTATATTTGTTAAGATTGTTTCCTTAAAAAAAAATCTGAGATCTATCATAAAAAAACTAAAACTATTGATCACTTATTTACTGCCCTCTCTGAAACCTTAACCAAAAGCGCTTATTTGGCAGAGAATATATGGGGGGAGAAAAAGCAAGTGAGTTCTACAAGATATAAAGCCCAGTACTCAAAAAAACAAAAAAGATTAAATCACTTGGTCCAGGCAGAAAACAAAGAGAAGTATATGGATAATAAACTTGATCCTAGAAACACACATTTTGAAGATACTTAAAAAAATAAACTTTTCTTACTCAGGCAATGGGAAAGTTTTTCTCCCTAAAAGGATAGGTGACCTCTCCCCTCTTCTAACACCAATCGCTGTACCTTCAGGATCCTCGAAAATATTTTATAAGATTCGATCATTAGAGTAATTACAAATTAAAGTGCACTTGTTAAATAGAATGTTCTGGCAATTACACTACATAATTTCTATGTCATTACTGTTTAAATCAGATAATTTGTGCTTCTGGGACTTCTGTAACATCTGGCAGAAGAATGACAGCGTTGGATGTATACAAACTTAGCACTGAACATAAAGGAATTTGGGGGAATAAAACCTATATTTTTGTAAGATAAGAATTCACATTGATAGAGACTGTGTTCCCTCAGTCTAATGTAATTTTGCCCTGGAAAAAGATAATGGCATACAGACTTTTATACAACTACCACAAGCAACATGAATATACTTTATATAAATAGATGTTCCACCCAAAGGTAAATGCTTCTATTTTCACCTTATTATGCCGACATCTCTAAACCAATAGCCTAAGCAGACTCTAAGTCAGAATAATTTGGTCTAAGAATTTCTTGATTCTCAGGAGCTCTATTTGGCAGTAGAGGACCATGAAACGATTGTAAGCATATTTTAACACTTTTATTACAAAACTAAAACCCACTTGATCTATAGTTCACCATGTTTCATACTGCTTTTAAATATTTATGTAGTATGATCTGGTGAAGAAGATACTAAATTGGAATTTAACAGATTTAGATTCATCACTAGCTAATGTAATGACTTTCGTCAATTCAGTATCATGTACATTGGCATCATTTCTAAACCACCTGTTAAGTTTATCTTGCTTATAAAGAAAAAGATTTACTTCAGAACACATTAATGGTTGGCATTAACTTTACCAAATGATTTTTATTATAATTTTCCAAATGGCAGCTGTTGGACAGATAGTGGCCATAGCCAGTATATAAGCTGGGGATAGAGAAGAATACTTTTAGAAAAGTTAAATCTTTACTTTTTAACCTATTCCAATATTCCAATATACAACACAGCAAGAAAAAAAAGGCAAGATCTATAGGCAACACTTATGGAGACTTTTTCATCTAGCCACCCCATTTTGCAGTTGATAGAACCCATCAGCCAGAGTTAAATGATTTGTTCAGTGTCAGAGAGCTGGCAAGCACCAAAAGTGGAATAAGAACCCAACTCTACTATCTCCCGGTCCAGCTCTCCTTCTAAAAGTACCGTACAGCCTTTTCAATGGGAAACAAATTTCACATATATTTCTAAGAGAAGTCCATTAAAATGTTGAGTGTTTTGGAAACAGTTAATAATTCATTTCTAGTCTCTAATTTCATCAAGGTAAACTTTGGTGAGGAATCTCCATCATGGTCATAGTCTAGAAATGCCCAGACCTGGCTGCCATAATGACAGATACCTTATGACAATAAGTAAAGTAGAATGCAGAATGGAGACCATTAAATAAATCAGGGTTGTTTTTTTCATCACACATGTTGTGCAGTCACTAGGAACACAAAAGGTCTCCCAGTTGTCTTACTGACTTCGGTGAACTCCAATAGTAAGTAATCTTTGGGAAATGGACATCTGTCATGCTTTCATTCTGACAGGTAAGTGAGGCTTCTGGCTCCTTCATAGTTCCTTATCCTTTCCCATTTATGATTTAAAAACTCCTCCTTTTGTACAGCAATGTGTACAAGCCAGGCTATCTTTTCAGCAGAGCTTAAATTTTAACAGGAAAAAATATATATACAAATAAAGGCAGTGTTTAGGGTTTCATGCTCTCCCCTTACTACTGTTTTCCTGAGGTTTAATCAATAAAAAAAATTTTTTTTTAAATCTTCTAAACATTCTTTTCAATTCAACTACAAAGCCCAAAGGCTCTGCTTTGGTACAGGATCAAATTTAAATCTCTTTCAAAACATATTTAATAGTTTACAATAACAAAGAACACTTGTACTTAAATATATTTAATAATTAATTAATCATTGGTTTGATGTCCAATAATCTCTCTTCTGACATGGCACCTATCACTCTGACCAGGTATTGACTCTGAGCAAGCAGAATTAAACATACATACATACATACATACATACATACATACATAAAAAAAATAAAAATCATTGAGACAGGAAAAAAAAACAATAAAATAAAATAAAATCGGGGTGCCTGGGTGGCTCAGTCATTAAGCGTCTGCCTTCAGCTTGGGTCATGATCCCAGGGTCCTGGGATCGAGCCCAGCATCGGGCTCCCTGCTCAGTGGGAAGCCTGCTCATCCCTCTCACACTCTCCCTGCTTGTGTTCCCTCTCTCGCTGTGTCTCTCTCTGTCAAATAAATAAATAAAATCTTTAAAAATAAATAAATAAAATAAAATGTTTAAAAAATAAAAATAATAATAAATAAAAATAAATAAAATAAAATAAAATCCGTACTTTCTCTGGCACCAAATAACAATAAAATCAAAACATAATTCTAAAAAATAAAAATGTAGAATAAAAAGTAAGATACAACAATTCAACTGATAAAATATATATAAGGAATACAGTACAGTCTCCACCTTATATCAGGAAAGGTCTAATAAATAGCTCTCTCAATTTAATGCTGCTTTAAGCATACAATCACATTGCTAATTAAACACTCCCATCTTCCTCCATTCCCAAAACCATTCCTAATCACACTTTCTAAAGTCAGTAGTGACTGTTTTGCAATGTAATACATAATTTTGACTTTGTAGCTAGATTCTGAATATCATGTCTTCTTCTTTAGAACCTTCTTACTCTTAAAAGGTAGATGCTTTCAAGTAACCCCTCCCTGAGTGCTGCCTCTAGTGATCTAACTCCCTCACTAGCTCACACCATATATGCAGATACAGGATAGTGGCCAAATTCTTTCGGTGAACTCCAATAGAATAATCATCTTTCACCCATAAAGAAATTGGTTCAATATGTAGTTCAACATTTTAAGCCTCTCAGGACAATCTATCAAAATTTACAATAAATAAGGAATGAGAATATTTTATGATATTTTTGGCAAAAAAAAGTCCTTAACCATCGCAAAAAGAACTACAAAGGAATTCTTTCAAATTCAAAAGTAATTGTTTTAGGGGCTCCTGGGTAGCTCAGTTGGTTAAGTGACTGTCTTCAGCTCAGGTCATGATCCCAGGGTTCTGGGATCGAGTCCCCAATGGGACTCCCTGCCCAGCAGGGAGCCTGCTTCTCCCTCTCTCTCTGCTGCTCCCCCTGCTGTGCTCTCTCACTCTCTCTCTGTCAAATAAAATCTTAAAAAAAAAAAAAAAAGTAATTGTTTTAAACCAATTAATGCTATAAGGTTTAAGCATTAGACAAAGTATTCTCATTACCTAAATAAGTCTATTCATATTTTATTACAGTTCTTACCTATGGTAGTTCTTAAAATAGTTGACACTCTGTTTTCTAATGGACTCTTGCAAAACTTCAGATTTGCTACCACAAAATTCTTCTCCAACTTGCATTAACCTAGTTGGATAAAAAGATTTATACAAATTTCAGCAACATTCTTATTACAGAACAAAAGTAGTCCAGGTCATCTTTCTTCAAAGATAACACACCATAAAAATGGATGTTTGAAGAAATTCTAAAGTTCACAAATTCAATATGGCTTACAGACATCCAAAGGGCAGAAATATTTAAACACACTCACACACACCCAGCAGAAATTAGATTATGAATGTTCAATTGTCTTCATTTCCATGAAAAAGTTATATATAACTCACTGATTCATGATTTCTTTGATTATCATCGTTGAATGACTCAAGCTAAAGAATAAAACAAGATCTCACACAGTACCTGCTGATTATATCCAAAACAAAGATGAAATCATCATATTTAAATATAGACAAATCTGTTCCAAGCAAGTAGGTTTTTACTTTTAGCTGAACATCCTGCAAAACAAAACAAAAAAATATTTCAAATGAACCCAAAATATAGAATATAAGCTCCCAGAACCATTTATTCTATAGCTACACATTGAAAGAGATAGGAATACATTCTTTTTTTTTTTTTTTAAAGATTTATTTATTTGACAGAGGGAGACACAGCGAGAGAGGGAACACAAGCAGGGGGAGTGGGAGAGGGAGAAGCAGGCTTCCCGCCAAGCAGGGAGACTGATGTGGGGCTCGATCCCAGGACCCTGGGATCATGACCTGAGCTGAATGCAGACGCTTAACGACTGAGCCACCCAGGCGCCCAACAGGAATACATTCTTAAGAATATATATTTAGGCCAATAATCAATATTCTTACAGTGATATCACTGAAACAATTCCATAAACATCAGATATAAAAATAATAATGATGACAATCATCACTATTAATACATACACATATGCAAGATAAAAATTATATCCTCGTTTTGGATATGAAGATAAAAATCATCATCATTTATGTGTGGCTTGGTAGGCTAGAAACTCCAAAATAATCAATTCAAAAATAATTAGAATAATCAGTTCAAAAATATTTAGAATTAATAAGATAACTATGTGATTATGTGCAATACATAAAAATTAAGTTTTCGTGTATTTCTGCTATAGTATCTTAAAATGAGATTCCATTTAAAATAAAGATTAAAACTATAATGTACTTAGGAATAATTTTAATAGGCAACATTAGACCTGTAAGAAAAAACTAACAACTCTAACAGGATACAAAAGAAATTTCAATAAAATGAGAGTCAAGGGACTGAATGAGTATAAAAACATCAACTTTTCCAAATTAATGTTGGGGTTCAGTGACATTTTAACCAAAATCACAAAAACCTTTTCCTATGAACAATCATTCTAAAATTCACCAGAAATAAGAAACAGGCAATAACCTCTTTTTAAAATACAAAGCTTTGAAAAGATGGAGTAAAAGTTATAAGTGATGTTGAAGGACTTGTCCTACCTGTACTAAATATATTAGAAATTATTTTTAGGGCGCCTGGGTGGCTCAGTCGGTTAAGCGACTGCCTTCGGCTCAGGTCGTGATCCTGGAGTCCTGGGATCAAGTCCCGCATCGGGCTCCCTGCTCGGCGGGGGGTCTGCTTCTCCCTCTGACCCTCCTCCCTCTCATGCTCTCTGTCTCTCATTCTCTCTCTCTCAAATAAATAAATAAAATCTTAAAAAAAAAAAAAAAAAAAAAAAGAAATTATTTTTAAAAAAACAATACTGCCAATACCCAAAGAATCAACAAAATAGGACAAACAATTCAGAAATAGTGCTAATATATATATATATATATATATACACACAAAGCTTAATAAACAACAGTAAAAACTACTGTTTGCTGATTGTTTACTTTTTATCAGCATTATACTAAGAACTTTACATATTATCTTTAATCCTAAAACAGCTCTGTTGAGCAGGCATTTATTATCCCCTGAAGAGAAGAAAAACTGAAAACAGGTCAAGTAATTGCCTAAATTCACATGCCCTGTGAATGACAAGGCTAAGATTTGAATCCTGGTCTCTCTATCTTCAGAGTCTCCTCTTTCCAGCAGACCTTGCTATGAGGAGGCATCACACATAGACAAGAAAAAAGATTATTCAGAAAGTAGTAGAGGAAAAAAAAAAAATCAACTAGATTTGGAGGGAAAAACTCCTCTCTCCTCTCCTTATATCACATATCAAAAGACATACAAATGGATTAGATAACTGTTTTTGTATGTTTGCAAAAGATTAAAAATTAATCCAATAAAGCAAAAGTATTTTCTCAGTACTAAGTGTTCTAGGCAGTACTCCAGGTATTAGGGATATAGCAAATAATATAAAATTTAGATAAAGATCTATAATTACCAGATGAATATTGACCTGAGCTTTACACAGGAAAAAGTATTTTAAGAATAAACGTAGCACAGATATTGAACTCAAGTTGGAAGAGGGCACTGTGGTCTCAAAACAAGAGGTAAAACTGCTGCCCAGTTTACCCCGAACCCAACCCTTCCCCATCGCCATCGCCACTGCTGCTAGGGAAGGAGGGTCAAGATCCAAAGGAACCAGAGCAGTTGAGAAAACTTTTTTTTTTTGGTGATTTGAGCTTTGAAACTATGGATGACAGTTTAAGAGAACATTCTGAAAAATGGGGCACACTTACAGATTGTGTGGTGATGAGAGACCCCCCAAACAAAATGTTCCAGGGGTTTTGCTCTTGTGACTTATACTTGTATTGAAGAGGTGGATGCAGCAACGTGTGCTTGACCACACAAGGTTGATGGGCCTGTGCTGGAATCAAAGAGAGCTATTTCTAGAGAGGATTCTATAAAGCCTGGTGCCCATCTCACAGTGAAGAAAATTTTCATTGGTGGCATTAAAGAAGATACAGAAGAATATAATTTGAGAGACTATTTTGAAATGTATGGCAAGACTGAAACCATAGAAATTATGGAAGACAGGCAGAGTGGGATTTGCTTTTATAACTTTTGATGATCATGAGAGAGTTGATAAAATTGTTGTTCAGAAACACTATTAATGGGCATAACTGTGAAGTGAAAAAGGCCCTTCCCAAACAAGAAATGATGTCTGCTGGATCCCAAGACATTGTGGAGGTAGGTGGATCTGGCAACTTTATGGGCTGTGGTGGAAACTTTGATGGAAGAGGTGGCTACGGTGGTGGAAGTGGCAGGAGAGGTAGTTATGCAGGAGGTGATGGTAGATATACTGGATTTGGAGGTGTTGGTGGCATCGATGGTGGTGGTCCTGGTTATAGTAGTAGAGGAGGTGATGGTGGTGGTGGACCAGGATATGGACACTGAGGAGGTGGATATGGTGGCAGTGGTAGAGGACAGGATGGTTACAATGAAGGAGGAAATTTTGGAGGTAACTACGGTGGTGATGGGAACCACAATGATTTTGGAAATTATAGTGGACAAAAGCAATCAAATTATGGACCCCTGAAGGGGGACAGTTTTGGTGGAAGAAGCTCGGGCAGTCCCTATGGTGGTGGTTATGGATCTGAGGGTAGAAGTGGTGGATATGGTAGCAGAAGGTTCTAAAAAAATTTCAGAAGAAAAGGGCTACAGTTCTTAGCAGGAGAGAGAGTAAGGAGTTGTCAGGAAAGCTGCAGGTTACTTTGAGACAGTAGTCCCAAATGCATTAGAGGAACTGTAAAAATCTGCCACAGAAGGAACGACGATCCATAGTCAGAAAAGTTACTGCAGCTTAAATAAGAAAGCCTGCTTGTCCAGGACTGTCATAGCCACAGTTTACAAAAAGTGCAGCTATTGATTAATGCAATGTAGTGTCAATTAGATGTACATTCCTGAGGTCTTCATCACATATAGCTTTGTCTTTGTCTTTTTTCTTTTCATTACATCAGGTATACAGCCCCGTAAATTGTGGTAGCGGTACCAGGAATAAAAAATTAAGGAATTTTTAACTTTAAAAAAAAAAGAAGAAATGTAACATAGGTCACAAAAGATAAAGGTCAATGGTCTGACCTCATAAAAATGCTGATCATCTGCATATTGAAAATATAGTAAGTGAAAATAGACAAATGACATACAAAAGATTACTCATTATCACATAAATCATTTTGGACCTATAATCAAAAAACATGAGCAAATAATTCACAAATCAATAATAAATGGATTTTTAAATGTTCAGCTTCCTAATAATTAAAGAACAATGAAATAAAACACGAATAAAAATATAAACAGATTGAACTGCCCAATTAAAAGATAAAGAGAGACAAACTGAGGGTTCCAGAGGGGAGGGGGGGTGGGGGGATGGGTTAGCCTGGTGATGGGTATTAAAGAGGGCACGTACTGAATGGGGCACTGGGTGTTATATGCAAACAATGAGTTATGGAATACTACATCAAAAACTAATGATAATAAAATTTTTAAAAATGTAAAAAAAAAAGATAAAGTCTCTCTCTCAAAAAAACATTTCTTTTGCATCTATAGAAGACACAACAAAAACATGATCTAAAAGCATTTAAAATAAAGGGACAGTCAAAGGAAAATATGAATAAAATAAACACAGCAATGGTAATAATAAAGCAAACTAGAATTCACGGCAAAACGCCTCAGGACAAAAGAACTATATATTTTCTTTAAATTAACGAAGGAATTACATACAAAGAAGGTAGGTAAAGTGGTTACTAGCATTGCAGCATCAATCGACATAGCATCCAAGTATAAAAAGCAAAAGCTAATGTTAGAAATAAAACAAAAACCTGACAAAATTACAATCTTTCTGGAAGGTTAAAACTCCTCCCTCAGAATTACACAGGCCAAGGAAACAAAGAAAAAATATATAGATTAGAATAATACAATTAATAATAAGCTTGCTCTAATATACACATAGGACTTAACTCCTACCACAAAGAAGAAATACAGTTATTTTCCAAATGCTCAAGCAAAAATTTTTAAAGTGGGTGGCATTCTAGGATGTAAAGAAAACCTCAAATTCACAAAAAGTAGAAATACTGCAACCCCAATGCTCTATAACAAAAAGAAATAAGTAGCATAAGAATAATATGAATAATTTCTTATATATCAAATATTTAAAGATGAAAATGAAAATCTTGGAAGATTGAAACTTTCATATAGATTCGTAAGCTCCATAAGGTCAAGTATCATGGATTCACCACCGTGTTCTTAATTCCACAGTGTCTGCCAAATGGTACAACTCATAAAACCTTTTTTCTTACAGATTTTCTATTTGAGTCAAAATGCATGGAAAATACTCTAAAAATTTTCATATAAAAAAATCACAGTCATTCTGACTTTGAGTTTAGTATTTATGTTAAAAAAGTTAAGTATCTGGGCGCCTGGGTGGCTCAGCTGGTTAAGTGACTGCCTTCGGCTCAGGTCATGATCCTGGAGTCCCGGGATCGAGTCCCGCATCGGGCTCCCTGCTCGGCAGGGAGCCTGCTTCTCCCTCTGACCCTCCCCCCTCTCATGTGCTCTCTGTCTCTCTCATTCTCTCTGTCTCAAATAAATAAATAAAATCTTAAAAAAAAAAAAAGTTAAGTATCTTCTTATGCTTTTCAATCATTTTTCATTATCTCTATATACATTTATAATAAATGTATATAAATTGTCACATGCTAACTTGTGCTTTGGAATTCAAGATTTCAGATGTTAGAAACGTATTATGGCACATATAGCATATACATTTAACACCCCCCAGTGGGGTTCTAAGGCAGTATCCCAAAATAAAACACATTAATATTCCTGCAACATATAAACGTTCACTTTAATGCGATAAATAAATACTACACAAAAAAGCTTAATGACAATACAGGTCTGGTTCTGCTGCTGAATGAATTCAAATCAGGTCAGGTTTTGCCTGCTGAATGTGTTATCAAAAAACATTTGTTTTGGGCGCCTGGGTGGCTCAGATGGTTAAGCGTCTGCCTTCGGCTCAGGTCATGATCTCAGGGTCCTTGCACTCTTGCTCCCTCTCAAATAAATAAAATCTTAAAAAAAAAAAAAAACCCTCAAAATGGATTAAATACCTAAATGTGAGACCTGAAACTATTGAACTCCTAAAAGAAAACACAGGCAGTAATCTCTTGGATATTAGCCTTAGCAACATCTTTATATATTGCTATATGTCTCCTCAGGCAAGGGAAACAAAAGGAAAAATAAGGTATTGGGACTAAATCAAAATAAAGAACTTTATATGGTAAAAGAAGCCATCAACAAAATGGAAAGGCAACCTAATGAATGGGAGAAGATATTTGCAAAGGCATGTTATTCTCTTCTGAAAATAAGAGGATACATTTTCAGATTTGCTTCACAACGTTTTTGTTTTCCCAAAAAAATCATTTTAATTCTCATATATTGTAAGCCTATGTAAAATTTTAAGGGGTTAATACCCAAAATATATAAAGAAATTCTATAACTCAACAGCAAAAAACCCAAATAATCCAATTAAAAATGAGCAGAGGACCTGAGAGTAGACAATTTTCCAAAGAAGATACATAGATGGCGAACAGACACATGAAAAGATGCTTAATGTCACTAATCATCAGGGAAATGCAAATCAAAACCATGAGATATCACCTTATAACTATTAGAATGGCTAAAATCAAAAAGACAAGAAATAACAAGTGTTGCCGAGGATGTGAAAAAAAAGGAACCCTTGTGCACTGCTGGTGGGAATGTAAATCGGTGCAGCCACTCTGGAAAACAGGATTGAAGTTCCTCAAAAAATTAAAAATAGAGTTACCATATGATCCAAAAGAGCAGTCCAAAAAGAACAAAAAAGAGTTATCTTCAAAGAAATTACACTTTTATCTAGGAAATAATAAATTTTAACATTAACAAATTTAATTATCTGATAACAACAACTATGCTACTAAACTGCAAAATAAAAGTTAAAGATACATTCAGCCAATAAACACATAAGATGCCCTCAAGGCACAAAAATCATTGAGAAAATTTTTTTTCATTCTATACTAGATTTCAGCCCACTATATCACCCATTTAGTTATCCTTTTCCTAAAATTAATAGAAAAGGAAAGAAAACACAAATGAATGAAATAAAAATAAACAGAATATCTCAATAAGAAAGCAATTTCTTTAGGAAAGCATACATTTGCTAGGACACTAAAAGAAAAAATGTAATAAAGGAATATATGTCTATTTCCAATGGAGATTTTCAAATTAAAAATTTATAGTCAAATACAACTGTGAACTAAATTATAGAAGTTAAAGGACAGATTTAGTCCAAAGAAAAACTAACATAGAATTCACTATATAGGAATGCAAATGAGTACAGAAAATTCAAACACTGAATTTCTAAACAATTTAGACATGAAAGTTTCTATTGCTTTTGTAAAAAAAAAATAATTTAAAAAACCCAAACCTGCCATATTCGTGTAAGTCCATGTTCTAATTTCTTTTTTATGTAGCCACGATCAAAATCAGTTTCTTCAGTACCCATATTACTCCCTTCTGAAAATACAAGAGGATACATATTTTCAGATTTGCTTCACATTTTTGTTTTCCCAAAAGAAAAAAATCATTTTAAAATACTCTCATATATTGTAAGCCCATGTAAAATATAGAAAATATGTTCAATATTTATACAATCAAAACAATGTCAAAAATAAGTGTTAGGATTAAACGCATTTGATACATAAACTTAAGACTGTGAAATGTTAAGTATTTTACACCTAAGACCACTCAGTACATATGCGATTGGAGCTGGGATTCCAAGTTGGATAATGTGATCCCAGAGACCGGGTTCTCAATGACTTATATACTGCCTACTGCCGGGGCATTACCGGACCCATTAACCTAATTATCAGTTAATGTGCATGTTAACAAGGGTACAGATTGCAGAACTGCTCATGCAGTAAGGTAATGATGCACATGTTTTACATCTTTCATGACCCAGAATAGTCTAACAAAGAATCTAACAATGTCCAGTTCAACAGGTGAGAGCAATGACCTGCTTGAAAACAAATTTCCCCCTAAAAGCAACTGAAAATACACATATATACATTTATATTAAAAAGATTATGCCTTGGGGCGCCTGGGTGGCTCAGTTGGTTAAGCGACTGCCTTCGGCTCAGGTCATGATCCTGGAGTCCCGGGATCGAGTCCCGCATCAGGCTCCCTGCTCGGCAGGGAGTCTGCTTCTCCCTCTCCCGCTCCCCCCTCTTGTGCTCTTTCTCTCTCTCACTCTCTCTCTCAAATAAATAAATAAAATCTTTAAAAAAAAAAAAAAAGATTATGCCTTTTTTTTAATAAACTGTGGAACAACTGAGAATACTATTTCACCTTAGGCTAGCAGGGTGAGCACTGGTAACCAGCAAAAGGCCCTTGCATAGGCCAGGCCCCATATTCATGCCTAGTGTACCTCTGACCACTCCTACAGCTTAAGCTTTATTATCTGTATGGTCTGGCTATTAGGGACCCAGCAGCTCAGGGCAGTGCACCTGGATGACAGCTTTAGAGTTTTCTTTTAGAATGGTAAAGCATTAGGATGCCAGCAGTATCACTACAGAGCTACAGGAGACAACCTCTTGAGCCCCTATCAGCTTTATGACGTTCTGGGAAGAAAAAGGTTCAAATTACTGACTCCTACAATTGTATTCCTTACTGTGAATATGAAAGGATTAATTGCAGGTGAACAAATGACTTTTTCAAGTTCAATATATTGTCAGATGTTAGGCTAATCAAGGTCCTGAATATTCTTTAGATATCCAGAATCAGGTCAAGGAATTTTAGCAAAGAGTACTAATAAGTATATAAGGCTCAGTGTTTTAAGTTTGACTTTACACCCCAATGAAAATACATACACAGACACAACAAACTATGAGCCTGAAGCAAACTATGAGCCTGAAGCAAAAAAGCAAACTTCACTATGATGAGTATGTATCATCCCCTAAACTCTTATATTTCAAGTGTGTATTAATATTGTTCCAAACTTTCTCTCTGGTTTCTCCCTAAATAATGTACTAGAAAAGGGAAAAGAGGTGCTGAAATGTCTTAATAGTTTCTGCATCTAGAAAAAAATAAAAGTTGCCAAAACAGGATAAACTTGTGAAGGTCTGGTGTCCCAGTAATCCCACCAATTCCCTAAGTAAACTGAGATTAAAAAAAAAAAAAAAGGCCTGTGGACATTTCGTCATCATTATCATCATTATTATCTCTTGACCCATTTCCTTTGACATTAACAACAACCAGTGTAAGCACGTTACATTATCCTTAAACTTTATAGCAAATCTATGGGTACATGCGTTACTACCCTATGGAGCTGTTTGTTTGCTTTGATTTTTTAACCTCCCACTTTAAGAAGGAAGCTGAGGCCTGGAGAAGATAAACTTCTTCACATTCTCATCTTTGGAAAATGGCAGTCAAAAATCTAAAGCGGGTATCTCTGACTGCAACACCCGTGCTCACACGGGTAGTACAGGGATGAGAGTACAGGAGTTGGGTAAGAACAGTCTGGCCTAGAAACCTGGCCCCCTCTTCTCTGCTTTCTCCTCCTCCCTTCCTTTACCACCCCCCCAGCAATATTCCTAAAAGGATGAAAATCCTTCTATAGAATCTTCCTGTTATTTTTTGCTATCTATATTTACTATCTATATTTATAAACTTCTTATGAGTCAAGAAAAATATTAAACTTACGCCTTCTATACTATAAGAATCCTACAATACGATTTGTGTTCTTCCACGCACCCAAACACAGAAACCAAACACCTCAGAAATTAGAAGTTACTAAAATAATTTGATTGACTAGCTACATTAAATTGTATGCAATACAAAAAACCTGTGCAGTATAATTTATTTTGCCCATATTAAACAGAATGCTGATAAAAACATTAATTACTTTTAAAAGTATTTTGAATACTTAATCATATTGTTCAAGGATGATCACTTAAGATATAATTATACAAATGAAGTAAGTTAAATATAATGTCTGGTTAATAATTCCTCAAAGATTTGTTCTTTATGTAGCTGACTATACCATAGTCATTTAAAGTTGTGTTTTCCATTCAAATATTAATATTTTAAAGCCTTTTTATAAAATTTTAAGTCCTGCTGTGTTTTCATAGGAAGAAAAGTATAATTATGATTTTTTTCAATATTTTATTTATTTATTTGAGAGAGGGAGAACGTAAGTGGCAGGAGGGGGTGCAGAACCCAACATGGGGCTCGATCCCAGGATCCTGAGATCACGACCTGAGCCAAAGGCAGACACTTAACCTACTGAGCCACCCAGGCACCCCAGAAAAATATAATTATTAATTCTTAGAATCTAGCTTTATTAGTACAACTTGCAAATTAGCAAATAGATTTAATATTAAATATTAGCATTAATTTTACAGTAAATTGGACAGACCAATGTCTTACCTAGTTTGCAATTAATTTTTTAAAAGCCCTTTGTTAATAATTTAGTCCTAAAGCCATCACCACATATTCCTGAAAGCTGGTAATATCTATCACTTAAGAAGTCCTTTGGTCCAGTTAATCCCCAAAGTTAATGGAGCTTTTATAGACACTGAATGACTTTCTTCAGTGAATATTTAACCTATGGGTCACTAAAGTTCCTGAAATGGCTATCCCTTTTCTTTCTCCTTATTCCAGAAATATGGCATATTTATAGTTGTTTTTAAAATAAAATAATTTCCTACCGGAAGCAGAAGTAGTATCCTCATTGTCATGTTTTTCATGCCATTCCATAGTCCTGTAATAGCTGAGCATAACTTCCCACAGTGCTTTGCACAGGTCAGCAAGGCATGGAATATAGCTGTCTGGTGTAACATGCTGAAGAAAATGAGCAAAGTCAACTTTAAAAATTATCACAACTTGGAAAAAGGAAATCAATCCATTATGTCATTTGTGTAACTTAAGTACCTTTGACAATCTCTAAATTCTAGAAATCACATGGATATTATAGATATTCCATATCTATTAATAACATTTTAAAATAATGTTTTATATAACATAACTATGAAACAATATGTAGTCTCAAATCTCCCTAATGAAAATGAGTATCTTTTCCCCCCTCTATCCTTTGTATAAACTACCAGCTTGTCATTCTGCCCTCTAACTGTGGGTAGAGTGATGCCTCCATTCTATTTTGCAGGCTGTCATTATGGAGCATTTGCTTCATCCTTTGAGATTTTGTAGCATTTCTTCCTTTTGTAATCAATCTATCACAATCAATCATGCCAATAAAACACTAAAAGGCTAGTAAGACTGGTATATACTAAGCCCTCCAAAGTGAAGAGCTAGTAGAAATAAGCTACATAGCAAATATGGCTATGGTGTGATTGATGCTTAAGATAGCACAGGTTGGTATTGGTCCTCTCTCTTTCAAAACATTTTTTCCCTCCTCTAAGCTCCATGTTTATTAAAACATTCATCAAGCAATTAATAAAAACATGAACTCATATGGCTCAGTTCACTTTTGTGCAAGCAAGTCAAATCTCTGAAACTCAACTAGGAAGTAGTAAAATAAAGCAGTTGTTAAGCTCTGGAGTCAGACTACCTAAGTTGGGTTTATGCCAAGAATAGCAGGATGGTTTAATCTAAAAAAAATCTATTAATATAATTCACCATATTAACAGTCTAACAAGAAAAACCAAATGATCATCCTAACAGATGCTGGAATAAACCTTTTGACAAAATTCAACAGCCGTTCCCAATAGTAACTCATAAAAAAATTAAAATGGATGGATATTTCTTTAAGATAAGGAAACTAAGGCAATACCCACTGTGGTCAGGAACAAGACAAGGATGCCTACTATCCCCACCACTATTTAACAATGTTCTGGAAGTATTAGCCAATGTTATTAGACCAGAGAAAAGAGTAAGAAGCAAATAAACAGGAAAAGAAGAAATCAAATAATTTCTATCTGCAAATGATAATAATATATCTAGAATATAATTCTTAGAGAATCAATAATAAAACTAACTCAAACAAAATAATTTAGCAAGGTAGCAGGTCACAAAATTAATGCAAAAAACAAAAGCATTCATATATACAAATAATAATCCATTCCTCATATCATACACAAAAATAAGCTCCAAATGGATAAGAGATCTAAATAAAAAATAAAACTATACTAGCACTAGAAGAAAACTTGAGTTAATTCTTCTCTCAGCTTGATATAGGGAAAGTCTAACTACAACTAAAAATTCAGAGGTAATAAAATGTAAAATTTGATACATTTTAGTACATAAAAATTTTTTTTTTAAGATTTTATTTATTTGACAGAGAGAGACACAGAGAGAGAGGGAACACAAGCAGGGGGAGTGGGAGAGGGAGAAGCAGGCTTCCCGCCGAGCAGGGAGCCCGATGCGGGGCTCGATCCCAGGACCCTGGGATCATGATCTGAGCCGAAGGCAGACGCTTAACGACTGAGCCACCCAGGCGCCCCAGTACATAAAAATTTTAAAAAAGAATTTACATGGCAAAACGAAACACCATAAGCAAAGTCAAGACAAATGACAAACTGAAAAAATATTTACAACATACATCACAACAAAGTGTTAATATCCTGCATCTATAAAGAACTCTTAAAAGTTTTGGGGAAAAAGACCAAACATCCTATATAAGAATGGGAAGAAGTCACAAGCAAACTGCACAAATAGAGATACAAAAATGGCCATTAAACCTATGAAAACATGTCCAACTTAATTCATTAATAGGACAAATGAACACTAAAACTACAATAAGACACAAATTCTCACTCGTCAGATTGGTGAGAATTTTAAAGCTGACTATTAACAAAGATTCTCTCCTTGACCAAACTCTAGCCAAGATCCTCTAAGCTCTCTTTTCAACTAGGCCTCATTCTTGGCCTATAAAAACCTGAACAAAACACTAACATAGTTTCTAACAGCCCAAGGCTGCATCCCTAGGCTGACGCTAGTCCCCGTTAAAGTGCCTCTCTGAGAAAACTCAAGCCTGCCAAAAGAATTTACTGTCTGTTCCAGGTAACACCTGAAGATAGGGCCCCCATCTCCCAGCCTCTGAGGGAGAAAGTGGGAGTCTAACTTCAATAAGCCCAGTTAGCAAACCCAGATGGGCTTCACAGGGACTAACCCCCACTTCCTGTTTTCTGCAATTTTTCATTCCCTGACTCTGAGCCCTGCCTCATCTCCCTCCTTTTAAAACACCCAGTCATCTCTGTACAAATGCAAGTTGAGCCTGGTTCACACTGGATTCTTTTCCCTATTTCAACAGGATATTACTAGTTAAAATCTGTCCATACAACTTTAATTTAGTATTTGGCTTTATCTTTGACACTCTATTCTGTTGTCGAGGCTGTGAAAAAGTACCCACTGTCATACATTGCTGGTGGGAATGAAAAATGACATAACCGTACGGCAGGGAATTTGGCACTGCTTAACAAAACTACATGTGTTTGTTCCCTTTGACCCAGCAATCCTACTTCTAGGAATTTATCCTGAAGATACCACTCAAACAATGTGAAAATATATATGCACAAGGTTATTCATTGTGAAGGATTATTTGTAACTGCAAAATACTGGAATCTATCTAAATGTCCAAACAGGAGATTGGTTGAATAGACTACTGTTCATACACACAAAAGAGTACTACACAACTATGAAAAATAATAAGCCGATACATGCATATTTAAATTTTTTTAATTAAAAAAAAAATTTCTCCTGGTAACCATCTGTTTGTTCTCTATAGTTAAGAGTCTGTTTTTTGGTTTGTCTCTTTTTTTCCTTTGTTCATTTGTTTTGTTTCTAAAAGTCCACATAAATTTTTTCTCTGACAGACATATTTCACTTAGCATTATATTCTCTAGCTCCATCCAGGAGGGGAGGTGGGTGAGGGGATGGGTAATATAGGTGAAGAGGATTAAGACTACATTTATCTTGGGGGTGCCTGGGTGGCTCAAGCAGTTAAGCATCTGACTCTTGGTTTTGGCTCAGGTCATGGGATTGAGCCCGCATGAGGCTCCACACTGGAGCCTGTTTAAGATTCTCTCTCCAGCTCCCTCATGCTCTTCCTCTCAAAAAAAAAAAAAAAAAAAAGAGTACACTTATCTTTTTTTTTTTTTTTTAAGATTTTTTATTTATTTATTTGAGACAGAGAGAATGAGAGACAGAGAGCATGAGAGGGAGGAGGGTCAGAGGGAGAAGCAGACTCCCCGCTGAGCAGGGAGCCCGATGCGGGACTCGATCCCGGGACTCCAGGATCATGACCTGAGCCGAAGGCAGTCGCTTAATCAACCGAGCCACCCAGGCGCCCCAAGAGTACACTTATCTTGATGAGCACTAAGTAATGTATTAAATTGTTGAATCACTATGTTGTACACCTAAAACTAATATCATACTGTATGTTAATGATACTGGAATTAAAATTTTTTTACTTTAATTTTATTATGTTATGTTAGTCACCCTACAGTACATCATTAGTTTTTGATGTAGTGTTCCATGATTCATTGTTTGCATATAACACCCAGTACTCCATGCAATACATGCCCTCCTTAATACCTGGAATTAAAATTTTTTAAAAATTTTTTTAAAAATTTCCCCTTCATGACATACATATATGATAAAGGGAAAAATTTTAAATTATATGTATAACATATAAGTTACATATACAATATAAAAAATATATATCTAAAATTACACATGTCATAAGAAATAGAAAAAATTTAATGCATATATCTGATATCATCACAAAAATAAAGAGAGAAGATAAACAAGAAAATATTGAAGTTAGTTATCTTTACAAGGTGGGGTTGGGGATGAAATGGAAGAAATGTAAGAGGAAGTGACACTTCTCTAAACATACCACATAGGTACATATTCAGAGAAGAATTAGAATGACCATCCAGATTTACACACAGCTGGCAGAGATGAATAAAAAATATTTTTCCACACTTATAATTTGGAGTAACTTTTTATGTTTACATGTCATGTTTACTTTTGTAATTACCACCTTTACAATGAACCAGTCTTGATTTTTTCCCCTCTTGGTTTATCTTTATCCCATCACTACGTATCCCTTATAGCACACTCATGTAATAAAAACTTGATACTGATGCACAAGGTCAGGAAAAAGCTAAAAGCAGAAGGCAAAGAAAAGAAAAAAATCACAAAAATGTTCTGGGCTGCAACTCCCAGCAATCATTCACCTGAATAAAGGTACTCTTTTACAAGTCAATTTTTTTTCACCTTCATAAACTCAACTTTACATAAATTTGTATTTATATTATGCAAATAAATTTAATCTAATTATATCCCAACATTCTTTCGGGTAGATAAAAGGAAGACAGTGTTAGTCTTATTTCTTCCCAAAGAAAAATTATGACTATACAAATAACTGTGTTATAGTTCACCAATTAATTTTTATTATACTTGTCACAGTTTAACAAACCAGAAAATTAAATCTTAGAACTACTACTACCTTCTATTTTCTACCCAGATGCTGTCTAGTTACATTACTTGCCTATTTATTCGAGGAAAAGGAGGTTCTTTACTATGTTACCTCTTGATGATTTGCTGAAATGTAATGGGTTTGGATGAGATACACAAAGACATATATGTAAATTCTTTTCCAAAAAAAAGTTGACATTATTGAAGTTATAGCAAGCTTTTTCTCACCAAACTGATCCAAGTGTAAATAATTCACAAATCTAGCTAAACCACTGCACATGCCTGAAAGTCTTCCAAAAGAATATAAATTGCATTATCTTCACAAATATGTTCATATATACAAACATAAGACTATGACGTACTGAGCACCAGATAACAAGATGACTCTTGCCTAAATTTAT